CCAGGGTCGACCCTAAAGCCAAGTAATCCTATAGGGACTCTTTTTTGAATTCTCTTATAATGATCTTACCTACTAAATGCTAGAGGTTAAGATCAATATGTGGAATTTCAAGCTGAGTAAAAAGAAGAGTTTTTGAATTTCTAATGGTGGGGTACCTCTTCTAATTTTCTAAGACTAGTCAATAGGAAAGTCCTATGGCTAGACCTAGGCTACTAAAGAAGTTTTCTAGACCTCAACCAAAAGTGAGGTCAACAGCAGCAAAATGAACATTTCCCTTACGCAAAATCGACATTCCGAACCCGCCAACGCAGTTCATTTCATCATCTAGGGTTGTCCGGGCAACCTCGTCGCCGATCGGGTCAAAAACACGTCAAATTTGATTTCCGTTAAAATTTTGGTTCAAGCTCAATTGATCAAGATAGTGTATATGATTGTCATGAGAAGTTTAGAAAAGATTTAAAGTGATTTTGAGTTGATTTGATGAGTCAATTTGAAGGATTTTGGCCACTTAGTCAATTTTGGGGTGTTGGATTAGACTTGGGTTTGGATTAGGTCAAGGTTGGGTTATGTCCAAATTGATAGTTCAAAATGGTCTAGAGGAATGTCATAAATAGTTTTCAACATAAATTGGGTGTCAATTTTGGGATTTGGGCATTCAATTTGGTGACATGGCTAAGTTGGGGCAAAATTGAGGGTTTCAGATTTAAGTTGAAATTGGGCTCAAAGTATCGGTCAATTGGGTTGAAATTTAGTTTGAATTTATCATATGAAAGATGAATTTGAGTTTAGAACTGAAATTGGGGTAAATTGGGATCGAATTGAATTCAATTGAAGGGTTTAAGTTGGTTTTGGGACAAAATGCTAAGTTGGGTATTTTGGTGAAATCGAGGTGTCAACCATCTTGATTTGAGCCACAGACCAAATGAGTCTCCATTTGGGTCCTCTAGCATTTGTGCTAGCTAAACCCCAGCCTAGGGCTAGAGGGTCTGGGAGACCATCTACATGAGTTTCCCAAAGGATTAATGGATCAAAGTCAACAAGTTGGGTTTGGGTTTATGAGTAAATGAGAATGAAAATGAGTGAACAGTGAGTGAACTAGCTCCAGACCAACATCCAGGGTCAATCCTAAGGCCAAGCTGTCCTATTGGGATTCACCTTGAGCTCCCCATATTGACCTCATCTGCTAAGTGCTAGAAGTTAGAACCAATATGTGGAACTTCAAGTTGTAAAGAGGAGCTTGGAATTTCTAAAGGTGAGGGTTCCTTTTCTAGTTTTCTAAAAATAGTCAACAGAAAAGTCTTATGGTTAGACCTTAGGCTACTAAAGAGTGAAAACTAAACCTCAACCAAAAGTGATGTCAACAATGAACTTGCATATTTATCATAGAGAAATAAACTCTATATGTTAATGATGTAAATTTATGATTTGTTTGAGCATAATGTCTTGGCCTGTCACATATTATAGATATTTCGATTGTATTTGAAAATCACATGAATTTCGATAAAAAATAATTATGTTCAATGTTTATACATCATTAATCTCAACTTTTTTTAACAAATATCTTTTCATAACATAATTGCACTAGACATTCAACAAATTGGAGAAAGTTATAAAAAAAATATAATCAAACATACGATTAGTATAGCATTTTGTGAAAAAAATTACTAAAATTTACTTCGTAGGAAGAATCAGGAGAAACGTCTCAATGAATTTTTTTGAAAGTGGAGTTACGGCATTAGCATGTTTTCCTTCGCAGAAAAATTGTAATTTTGAAAAGAATTTAAAAAATATATTTTTAGCATAAAATCAAACGTGTTCTTCTTTTTCTAAAATAACAATTTGCAAACTATATTTTTTACCGAAGAACTTGGGTTTAAATAGAAATAATCCATGAGGGCTTTAAATCCTAATTGAATTTATACAAGAATATGTAAGGTATTTAAATCAATATTAAGAAAAATAACAATAAAAATCCTAACATAATCATCTTGTTAATGGTGATTTTAATAACACTATCAATGCTAGCGAGACGCGACTGACCCTCTGCGGCATGTCTGCATGTTGCGGGATTCGTTTTCTGGATTTCTGTAGTTAGAACCGTCAAAATAGCTCATTGTTAGCAAACAGTTCATGTTCAGTTCGTTAAGAAGCTCGTGTTCGATTTGTTCGCTCAGTAAATGAGCTAAACACGAATAATTTGTTTTTGTGTTCAATAAATAAACGAGACAAACATGCACTAATATTTGTTCGTTCGTGTTCTACTTATTTTGACTCGAAATCCACCTCATGTGGGTGACTAAAACCTACAACACCTAATAAAAACTACTCCTAGGGCAGCTAAGAAAGAAAATAAAAAGGTTTGAGAGAATCTCACAGTCGTGAAGGTTAAGAACGCATTCTCTTTGCTTGTCCTCGCTCCAACATTGCTCCAGCGAAAGAGCTTCACTCCTTCCTCATGGGATGAAGAAGAGGACCCTTCGAGAGTGGTTTTGGCAAAGTTATATCGAAGCTTGGAACTCTGGCGAGGTTTCCGGTGAAGCTCCCGACAATCCCTCTTAGCCTCCCTCCTTGAGGAAAATGAAGAGTCCCCTCTTTTGCTCCAAGTTCTCAAGCCTCCAAGAGAAAGAAGAAGCTCTTTGAGGAAGAAACTGGTGTTCTCCCTCTAGCACTCTCAAGCTATCCAAATGCTCTCCTCAGCTCTAGCTAGAATCCTCTCAATAGAGGGAAGAAAGAAAAAGAAAGCTAGAAAAATAAGAAGAAGAAGAAGAAGGATTTCTTCTTCACTTGAGCTCCTCCTCCATAATTCCCTCTTCCCTTTTTCTAGAGCTTTCTCCCTCAGTATGAAAAGTAGTGCAATCTCCCAAATGAGCTGCCTCCCTCCTCTTTTGTTTGATTTGCCACACTAGCCAACTTCCCACATGGTCTCTTCACCTGCCTGAACTTTCTACTTGACACAGCCTGGGAAAGCAACTCTTCGCATGGAAACAACATAATTTTTTGTGATCTCCCTTTAATTTGACTTCATGGGAATCATGCAGAGCTTCCCTGAAATGATCGCCTCCATCTGATGTGAAACGAGTTGAAACGACATGAAAAATTGGTCTTTAATAAAGGTGGGATGTCTGGGCGAGTATGCGCCTACTATCGGGTGCATATGTGCATGTTGCTCATGTTCACACATTTAGTTGCGTCTAAGAACAGTTTGGGGGTGCATAAGCACCTTTCTCTCAGTTTAGGAATGTTCCATGCGAAGCTTCAGTGTCTATGTGTCCCCTTCTCGGCATGGTCCAAAGAACCAACACCCAAAATGAGCTTTGGCACTTGTGCGCCAAAGGGGCTCTTAGTGCCTATGCGCCGCCCTAAAAAAAAATTCAGTTTTCAAATTTTTTTTCTTATCTTTTGTTCTTTGATAGCTTTCTTTGTCGAGGCTCGCATGGTGGATTCCTTTGGGTCCTCATACCATCATAAGACATCAAAGGATAAGAATAGGTCTGTCTATATTTTGGCATATCCCGCGGATGCACTGTATTGAGCAAAAATCCCCCCGTGTCGAGTATGACCCTAACGATCTAAAATTCAAGTTTTTACCTGAGTGCATGTAGGATGATTTTAATCGACCCAGATGCTATGGAAAGTCATGTATTGTTAAATTAAGACTCTATAGATCAAAATGAACATTCTAAAGATGTCAATTTGGGGATATTGGTGCCAACAGGTGTCCCGGATTTTCGCGAGGGTAGAACGGTCTAGGAACCCTAATTTTTCAAATTACATGTGGGAGAGTTTGATAACTCCCCTTAGCCATCGAGAGCTCAAAATAGACGGAATATGACCTTTATGGCAGCATAATGGACATCAAGCATGTCCCGTGTCAGAATTTACATCTCCCTGTGGAGAATTCTCTCAGGTAGAGTTGAATCAATACCGATCCTGATTCTGTGCTTGACGCACATACCAGGAGGTTCTATCAGATGTCTTAGACTACAAGAAACTGAAGACAATCCTGTATCATTCACGTAGACATTCTGAGCATGTGACAACCAAAATTTACGCCAACACCTAGTCGATGATGCTTTTCCTTTGATGGGATTGCCTCAATTAATTATGTTGATAATCTTCAGAGTGAGCATTTTCAAACAGCTATACCACCTCAGTTATTTAGCAAGCATTCTTTTAATCGTTACATCGAGCTTATAACTATATGATTAAAGTTTAAGGTGTTCTTCCTAATAAGAACCATATGTGTCTCTTTTACCAATTCTTTGAAAGAAAGCATCATAGATGACTGAGATTATTTAGTTAATTTAGCCTTCTCGATTGAGTAGACTACTTAATTTTTTTTTGACAGAATTATCTCGATCAGCTAACAGATACCTGTTAAGAAAGGACACGTTATTTGATAGTCCACCTCGACTAACTAGTCGAACCCTCAGCCATCCATGTCCACTTTATTGGCGTGGATGTGTTTTAAACCTTTACTTGGTAAACTACATTGTCTACCAAGAAAAAATTGGGTATGCTTCTAATAAGTGCACTTTGTCATGACGACGCAACACACTTGTTGGGAGTCCTTTTTGACATCTATGTTTTATGTCTTTCATGTCTAATACATGATTTGGGTGTTAAAGAAATGATACATGTGCCTGCGTGACTCAAAAAGTCGACAAATCACTTGGCGCACTAATTAAGCTCAAAATGACTCAATTATCGATAAATTTGTCCAGACAATCTCAGATGATGAAACAGACTACACATTCGAAACTTTAATTTTGCATGAGGAGGACAACCATTACCATATTTCATGCATAGACAAATAATAAGTAAATTGAGATATAAACAAATAATATGTAAATTTAGAAAATTAAATCAGAAAATAAATATATATGTATAAAGGGATAAAAATCCTTTTAGAGTAAAAAAGGAGCCCTCCTTGATTTGGAAGGCACAATGCCCTAGAGCCCTTGCGCCGCAACCCTTCCTTCTCTCGGTCCACGCCGGCGACATTCCGCCGGCATCCCCGACGCCAGCTCCAAGCTCCATTCCTCCTTACGCCGGAGGGCTCGCCCGTGACTTTCTCACTCCTAGCCTGCTCGGCTTTCCCCGCCTCTCTGACTGATACCCTTGACGTCGGCCTCCATCTTCACCGGCGAGCAACCCTTCCGGTGGTCTCCCCTTTTCCAGCTAACGAGCCCTGCCGTCGTTCTCTCTCACCGACGATTCATGCACGGCATGCCCTAGCGGCCCGGTTTCTTCAAGCGACCAACCCTCCTGGTACACTCTTCAATTCGCGGCGCTCAGAGATTTGAAATTCTCATTGTTCTTCTCCTGTGGGGTCGCTCCTACCTGAAACCATGGAGGCAGATGCAGGAAGGGAAAACTCCCGCCAGCGATATCCCTGTAGGTAAGCTCCCGCTGGCCGCCTCCTTCCCTCCTTCTACTTTCGGCCTGGAGCTTCGCCAGAGCGCCTACCTTTGGCGGGTTGCGACCACGTTGCGGCATATAGAGTCAAGAACAACCTCCCTCACGAAGGTCTGTCGGTGGCCCGGACACTAACGGTTTGAAGCTGGCAAAGGGAATGCGGCTGCAACCATGCGAAGGTATAACTCCTTCGAAACTTGATGCCTTTCTTTTCTAGCAAGCCTCCTAGGTTCTGTGTTAGAGAAATGGGATTATGTTCTGTGATTATAGGAAACCGCTAGGTTAGGAAGCCGTTTTCATGGACTACCCCTATGAATCTGAGAGATTTTCCCCTCAAAACTTAGCACATTGACCTAATCTTTAAGAGACCCACTAATCCCGTGATTGTTTGGCGGTTTCACCCATTGGTGAATGGGTTGAAGCCATCTTGATCCAGAGAACGAGGAAATTCATTTGATCCTCATTTCGTAGATCGTGAAAACTATGTCCGCGAGGGAAAATCTTCATTTTCGTGAATGTTTTCTTTTCATGAAAAAGTTCCTTCTTGTTTGTCAAATAATTAGAGATAGGCCATCTGTTACGTTGTGTAATGAGCCATATCTATGACTTCACTCCCACCTTATATCTTATATGAGATCGCTAGGAGTGTTTGGACTTGCCATCAAAATGTAATTTAGTATATTTGCATGATTGCGTGTAATCATTTTTTAAAATATGCATTTTAAAAAATGATCAATTTTGCATGCTTTTCGTCCCAACATCATGCGACACTTTCGGCTGTCCCTTGTTAGACACCTTGATCGGTCAACCGATATCGGTTGGCTTGGCCGCTTGTTTTAGGTCGGCTCAACCTGCCTTCCAATATCGTTTGGGTCGATCGGTGGTCCCTCGTCAGATGACATGATCGTTCAACCTATATCGGTTGGCTTCGCCGTATACCTTTGTTTGGCCAACTTTGATTGTTTAGCATGTTGCATTTTGCATGTTCATGCATACATAAAACGTCTTTCTCGTCTTTTGCATGTGATTGTCACATTTAGTGCAATCACATCGAGCTTGCGAGCTATATGTCATGATATATGAATTTGGGCTTTGTTCAATACACTACGTATGTTCGCTTGAGTGACCATAAAGTACTAAACCCCCGTTGGGTTACAATGTGACTTCACCTTTTGGAACATTCATATTGTATTTAATCGTTTAATACGCTACACATGTTCTCTTGAGCGATCGTATCATGCTAAACCCCCTTTAGAGTATAATGTAAATGTTCACACTTGTTATAACATTAATATTGTACTCAATCGTTTAGTACGTTACACATTTGCTTGAGTGACCTTAGCGTGTCGAAGCCGCTTTGGAGTATAATGTGAATGTTCACATCTGTTAGAACATTGCATATGTTCACTTGAGTGACCGGAGCGTGCTAAACCACTTTTGGGAGTTCAATGCGAATGTGCACACCTGTTGGAACATTCATATTATGCTCAATCACTTAGTGTGCCACGTATGCTCGCTTGAGCGACCGTGACATGCTATCTCATACTTGCATCTTGCATGCGCTTCACCTGACCCATTTAGATGACAAGTTGATTCGTTAGATGAGTGTTCCATTTGTTGGTTGTAATACTCAAACGAGCATTGCTAGCCAGAATGTGAGGCATGTTATTTAAAATGCCACCCCCTATAGTGACGTATTTTATATCTCTTGGATCTTTAGGACGGGGTAATGTTGGTGACTCCATCAAATTTATACTCCTAGACTTTACTCTGCTCAGTGCACACACACTCTTAGATGTTGTAATTAGAATATTATGCAGTATATGGTTTGCTAGACTATGACTAGGGTGCTTAAGTAGTCTTTTTCATGCCATGACTACTGTTTATTGTTGATTTGTGCCCTAACGAGACATTTTTGTGTGCTGCTTTTGTGTGTTTACTAGGTGTGAAACATGCACATTAGTATATCAGAGGCGGTTTAGCATCTTTTTTACAGGTGTTGTTAAGCTCTCCTTCGACCGAGCATGGTTCTCTACGTTGCATATCGATAGTTTTATGCTAAATTCATTTTAATATAGGTCAAGGCTTTTTCTCAGACTTTATTATGAATTTCTTAGAGTCATTAGGGGAGTTTGTGCTTGGCACGAACTCCAGACTGCTTGACACCGGAAGCACACTTTGGGGTGCTTGACATGGGAATTATATGGCGGGACCAGGAGCAGTTAGCTCCTATCCCGTACCTTAATTCTAGATTTCTTTGTTGCATAGCATTAGGACCACACATGATCATGCAACACAGAGCCTGACCGCTATCTTTTGCTTTCTGGGATTTGTTGCAGACCCAACGACACCCTAATTTTCTTATTATTTATATGTTTGGTTTTATTTACTTTGTGTTGTGTGTATGCCTGCGATATATAATTTAGGCTTTTTAAGGACATAAAATAATTTTTTTATAAAAGTCATAATAAAAGATTAAGATTAATTAAATTTTAAGATTAAAATATTTTAACTATTTAAAATCCTCATTTTACTTTTCTGCATGATCTTCATTCTAGTTTTAAAATGGGCTACATGTAGAGGTTTAAATGAGTCGAACATGAGCGAGCCCAAGTTCAGCTTTTGTTCGACTCATTAAAAAATGCCACTATTCGTGATCAACTCGTTTATATTTCGAAAACAAAAAAATGTGTTCGCGTTCATCTCCTTTGTTTAACGAGCCGAACAAGAGCTGCTCACAAACACAGAGTAATTTTGACAACCCTAGTCACGCAGCCGTACTTCTTAAGGGTTTGGGAAAGATTTAAATCTTATTATTTATATTAACACATCATTTAAATATAATTTAATATATTTTTATTCTATTTTTTAATTAATAATTTTACTTGATTATAAATTTTTGGAGCCTTGTAGTATTTAAAAAAAAATAAATTGACTACAAGACTACGCAGATTTATAATCAAGTAAAATTAGAACGCACAAATCTTTGCTCGTGTTCGACTAGTTTATGTATCGAGCGCAAAAAATTATTCATATTTGACTCGTTAACTTAGCGAACTAATCAAACACGAGCTTTTTAACGAGTCGAACAAGAACCGTTCGCTAATAATGAATCGTTTTGACAACCCTAACTGCATGCATAACTATTACTCAAGTCATATTAATTGCATCATATTGCTTGTGGCCCAACATAGATTGTTTATTTAGGTGGTTATCAATCACGCTTAGGGTGTTAGAGTCTTCCCTGACCCCAGACATGGTCTAAGTTCTTTGTTGGAGAGTTTTTAGCTTTGTAGTTGTACTTCTCTTTTCTCTCTTTTTATAGTGGTTTTTTTGTCGTTTGCTTAGTAGGTATAAGTCCCACCACTTTGAGCTCTATCTACAGAGGGTCATGGGACTTTCTTTCTTTTGACCTTAAGACTACTAGGATTCCCTTAGACGACATAATTCATGGATTGCTGACAATGGGGTCCCTGGTCGGTTTGGGTCAACTATCTTCTCGACCATGTAGACTTAAGATTTCCGTAGCTTGGGATGAGGAATCCATGGTATGATGACCCGGTTACATCTACTTACTTAGGGATTCCTCACCTTTTTTTGAGCCCTTTTGAGCCCAGTCGTCCTTTGACACTTCGTTAATGTCATCTTGTTGACCTCGATTGCCGATAGACCACCGTAGTGATTCACCGTCTGCCGTTATGGCTCAGTTAAGTTTTGAAGCATAGGAATGTTCCTGTCAAGTCGACCTGGTTATTTCCCAGGCCTCACTCATTGATGTGTCATCGTCCATTTGTGGATATGAGGGATTCATCCTCTCCTATGTGGCTCGGTATAGGCTTCCTAGGTGGCGAGACGTTCTTGGTTGAATTAAACATTCTTTTTGTGACCTATCCACCATTTATCGTGATAATGTAAACAAATCGTATTTTATCGAGAGTATTCTTAGGTATCCCCCAATATGTAATTAACCAAAGAGATACATTCTTTTGGGAGTGCTCTTGATCCCAGAACAAAAAATATTTTTTTTTGTTTTCTGGTTATGAGTGACTTATGTAGGGATTTTCTTCGTGAATATCATGTTTTGAAGTATTTCCATCCAATTTTGTTTAGATGTATACTCTCGACCTATCACACGGGGATTAACTTACAAAAGTCATTTTTTAAAAAAAATTATTTGTCTAAATTTTGTTGTATATCCCAACTTTCTGGTTCCTTCTCTCTTGGGATCATTTCTATGATCTGAGAAAGAGATTTATTTGGAAAAGAAAATCATACGACAATAATCTTAACTAAAAAAATTATAATCTTCAAATGTTCTATTTTTGGGACACTTATAGTATATTCTCAGATAACTAGCCTGTCTTGAAGTATACTCGAAACATTACATACCACAGTTGCATTACACAACTCTAAAAGTATTCCAAATCCTTAAACTCGTATTTTTTAGAATGCAAAGTTTAATGCTTAATCAAAAAATTGGAGTATATGTGTGATAGAACTAGCAAGTAAATAAAAATATTATGGCTCAAAGTCAGCTTAAATGAATGTACAGTTAATCACAATATGAAGGCAGGTGACCCAAAAAGAAGGAGATCTTAGTTGTATTTAAGCATTAATAACCTAACTCGTATATGTCAGAAAAAAAAAGCATCATAAAAGCCATTCAAAAGAACCCTTAAGGACATATGACTCATCATACACCTCAAGAAATAAATACTAAAGCGAAACCGAGCATAATACACAACATAATATTTATAAGCACATCATACGTATACATAAAAACAACACAATAATCTGACTATGACAAATACAAAAATTCGACAATTACAAATAACTATAAATTGTTAACCCTTAACAAAAAAAAAATTTAGACGCGTTGGCTTTCATGGAAAAACCTAAGATGATAAACACTTCGTCCAGCTGCAATTGCCATGAACACCTCTCTTTTAGTTGAGTTTATGAGCAACTTGGTAGAAAATAAGTACAGTAGAATGTCATCATAAAATTTAGGATCATCTCAAGTGTTCTAATAACATAAAAAATGGAAGGAGGATCGTGTGATGAACTTGGCTCAGAATGCAAATCTGAATGTGTTGCAAATAATTTAAATTTTAGGAGAAGGTGATTTGTCTATTGCATAATCACCTCTTTCCTTATTTACTAATCTCAACTTGGCTCG